TTTAAATCATTTTTAAATAATACTAAACTTAATTTTCTTACAATATAAATACTATACACTGTACAGTACATTCTACATAAAAAACAAATATATAGCAACTGAGGTGAGCTAAATATGATTTTAAAGTACGAAATTCTTATAAAAATTGAATTAATTGATTAAACTATATTTACTAACACATTAAAATTAAACTTTATTAATATAAATTTATCTTATCTTCTAAATTCCATTATAATCTTCGAAGCATCACCTATGTACTTGAATTGGTAGTTCTGTCAATATTATGATTGTATCAATACCGGATTATCTAAATATTTAAAGCTCATATGTATACAATATCAATTTTAAATAACTTATCTTAAAATGTCATTAATTTATAAGTTACATTTTGTATTCTTATTTAGAAAATTTTAAATTTCTTAACACAAAACATTTAATATTTTTTGTTTTTTTGTGATAAATATGTAAATAATTTATTATAACTTTAGTATTTTTTAACATATGTATCTAGTATAAAATGAGTGTTTCTTATATATAATTTACATGAAATTTGTTTATTTTTCTTACATTTTCTTTTCTGTAGAAGCTTAAATTATACAATTTTCAATTTTAAAGCTTTCTCTTTCGATAATGCTGTATCAACTTTTCTCCTTATATCATGCCATTTAAATTATTTATTATTGGTAAAAGCGTTTAAATTATTTATTTTAAAGAATTTCTGTATAGGAAAATGTTATTTTTGAATTCGAAAATATATTTATAGTCCATATTTTTATCAAAGAAAAGCAGAAAAACTCTTATCATGTGCTTGGTAAAATCTCACTTTAAAAAATTACTAATTTGTAATATTTATTTATTTAAAATAAATATTATAAATAGTATTAAAAGTAAATAAAATAAGTTTTATAATAAATAAACTTTTAAAATAACTTGAATAAACTTAAACTTTATTAAAGTTATTTTTTTTAAATTAAAATCAAACAAACTCGTCTATCATCATGCATTTCTAAAAAACCCATTTTCTCAGGTTATGTAACATGCAAAATTATTAAGTTATAATGTTTATTTTAAGTAATTAAATAGATAAAATAAGTTTTATAATAAATAAACTTAAAGAATTTAACTTCGTNGGAAACACAAAGAAAACCATATAAAACATGGTGGCAGCGGATAATTAAGCCAGTAAAGGAAACGAGGCTTAACGAACATGCGCCTGCTTAACTATACAAGTAATTAGAAACTTCGTTCAAAGGTTGACGCTGCGGCAGACAGACAGTCTCCTTTATATAGTAATATAACGATTACTTTAAAGCAAAATATATATTTAAAAGAAAAAAAAACACTTGAAATAAATGACTTTTACAAACCACACTATCAGGATGGATGTAATGGCTCCAAAAAAAAGAAAAAAAAAGATATATGTTCGTCCATTAACAAGTGACATATGATATTTTTGCAGTTCTACTATCAAAGAGATGATTTTTGGAGACATTTTTCGCACTTTAAACCATTTACTATCGTTGTATTCTGTCATAAACAGGCAACATTTGACTACCTTCTCATCAATTAATCTTTCCTTCTCTAACTTATTCTAAAAAAAATAATAATTTTAAACACTATAATAAGCATAAATCACGAATTCCTTTAAAAATAAAACCTTAAAAAAAGGGGGTAGAAAATTTATACTAAATTAATTTTAAATATATAATACCATCAATTAAATTATCTGTAATTATCTCTTAATTTATATAGCGAGCTTCTATATAAAGTAAACTTTCTATACGACGGTGCTTTGATATTATTTATGTACACAGAAAACTTGATATAGTGAATAATTTAGTTAAATCCTATGAGAATTCAGTACATCGAGAGTCCATTATATTTATTAATTTAAGCTAGTTCTGTATAAAAATCGTTTAAAATAATATATTTCAGATGACTTTAAAGATGCTAAATTCTTAATTATTCTTTGTATAAATTTATGAATTTAAATAATCGATTAAAAGGCGTGTTAAATATATTAATATGTTACTGTACAGGTAAGATGTTTGAAGAATTCGACGTCGGTTGTTATGAATTGCAATTTCTTAAGCAATTATTATATTTTATTTACATCCTTATGGGCATAAAAACAGTTTTCCAAGATTAAATACTTAATAAAATATATCAAAATTACAATAAAATTAATTTATTTTGCTTAATAAAGCAGTATAATGTTTCCTTATTATTTAAAAAAAATCCAGTAACGAGTTGCGTGACTTTTCCGGCAAAGGAAGTTAAAATTGTGTTTGGTCTCATCTGTTATGAGATATTTTAAAAACCTTTTACACTATTAAACGAGGAAAAAAGCTTAATTTTTAGGGTAAAGATGAGTTTTATAATAATAATAATAATAATAAACGAGTAAAATCTTAAGTCCGACCCCATTGGAGATACGTCATACGATTCCCTTTATCTCTCCACCCAATTGAACTTCAACCACGAAAATTTAATAGGATAAATGCCCCTAATATACAAAATTTCCTACAAAATTTCAGAAATTTTCGACAAAAGGCACGGGAGTTATTAACCTTCAAAATAGTGAACAAAATCGTGCCTTTCCCCACACACACACTAACATCCATACATACAGGAAAAAATACCAATAGGGTTAATTAAGATCTTCAAAATGTAATTATGAGTCATCGACACGAAATAAGGAATGTAAACTATACTTTTTAAATCATTTTTAAGATGATCTTCTCATAGAAAAAGATGCTTTAAGTAAGTTCAAGGAGGACTTCCTGTTATAGAAGGCGATATAAATCTACACAATTCATTGTTATTTTTTTGATTTTTTCCACTAACTTTAGTTGTTTTCGAATTGGATTTTTCTCCCTTTTTTCTGTTTTTTTAACGTTTTTTTTCCTCCTCCCCTCTTCAGCATTAACCGTAAAGTATTTTGTCAGCCTCTGACAATTGCATTACATTCTTGGCATTCAATTGATACGGAAGATTCGAGAGATGGAGGGGGGAAAATTGGATAAATTCCAAAAATATCTAATATTATTTTTATTTATAACATAAAAAAAAACGTCCTCCTTTAAAATTCTACATACATAATTGTGGCTATGCATAATTTTCGAATAACAGTTTGTATACTCGCGTCTAGTCTGAACTTTTATACATATACCTGGAATTTCTATACATTTATATATTCAATCAATGAATTAAAGATATATATATTTTTAAAGTAACTTTTAATCCTTACGAATCTATTAAACGAATCGATCCATCTTAATTTATGTTAAAATATTTGCATTTCTTTTTACTATGCCTCGTGAAAATTATATTTGTTTACAGTTTACTTTATAAGGTATTATTTCAATTTAATTTTAAAGAAATTCTTCTTAAATTTACATATTTTATGGTTAGTTTCAATATATATTTATATATTCCCTGTTATTTTCATAAGAGAAGATGTAGGCTAATAACATTTCTATGAGTCGTATTTAATTATTAAACGACTTTTCTAAAAGTAAAAACTTTATCTAACTTAAATTTTCCAATAGTACTTTTACTTTATTATCGATTTTTTTAAGAATTAATGTAAGAGTAGAACACAATTCATCATTTCTTTGAAAGCCAAATATATATTATCAATACGAACAATAAAATCTAATAAAACTTCTCGATTACTTTAATTAATGGACAGTTTTCTAATGATTTAAGATGAGAATAATTGAATGGAAAATGTTTATGTACAAGAGCAAGAGGTATTATTTAATACCTCTTGCTTGTTGCAATGAAACTTGGCAATGTAGAATGCCCTATTAAGTTTCATGTTCTGTAAGAGTGATATAATAATATTTATGATTATCCCCTTATATATTCTCGTTTATTAAATTTAATTAAAGGTAAAAAAATATAATATAAACTCTTATATATTTCGAAACATACGTGACTAAACGGAAATTTTCATTAGAATCTCTAGAGAGCAATAGATGATGTGTATCAGCCTCTAGAGATTGATGCCAAATTATATTTCACTTTATATTAATGTCTGCTTTAAAATTATTGATTTATTTTTAAAGAGAAGAAGCACTTTACTTTGTTATTTAAACTTTAAATGTGGTGTCAAGTTCACTTAGTTTTAAAAATATATAAAATGATTATGTTGTATAAGAAAGTATTGAAGAATAAAACAGATGGTTTTCTCATATTAGTAACTAAATATAGCATTATAATCTGTGTGTCCAACAAGTAATCCCTCAGCATTTTCACTTACATCTCTCCTGGTGAAATAATTACTAGTTTTTTCTTGTAAAAACTGCTTTTATAGCCCTAACTAACAAGAGAAATATGAATTTTTTTATAAAGTTTAACAAGATACTGGAATAAAACTTATATATTAAATTTTTACTCGTTTATTCTTTTCTTAAATTTACATTTTATAAGCTTTAACTCTTATATTAAATCAATAGAATACGTAATTAATAAGAAAAAGTAAGTTCGGCTTCCCTGCTTTACTCTAACGTTTGAGGGAAAGATGCTTTTACAGGGTAGTTATCAATTCGATTTTTACATTTTGGATAATATTTTATTTAATAATATTGAGAAATTTTTTAATAAATTTATT